TGTGTGTGTGTGTGTGTGTGTGTGTGTGTGTGTGTGTGTGTGTGTGTAGGTGTGTGTGTGTGTGTGTATGCATATAGAACACTAGTATGCATGTAAAGCCTGTGCGTGTGTGTGTGTGTGTAGGTGTGTGTGTGTGTGTGTGTGTAGGTGTGTGTGTGAGTGTGTAGGTGTGTGTGTGAGTGTGTAGGTGTGTGTAAGTGTGTGTGTATGCATATAGAACACTAGTATGCATGTAAAGCCTGTGCGTGTGTGTGTGTGTGTAGGTGTGTGTGTGTGTGTGTGTGTGTGTGTGTGTTCCCTATCGCCTCGTTGTGTAGTTTGTCTGCAAGTGTGCGACAGCCTGCACTGCTGGATGTGTTCTTCATGTAAATATTCCTCGTCAGTGACCGAGGTCTCTCTCTGAGAAGAATAACATCGTGTTGGGAATATTTTCAGCATGAAGTTGTTGAATGTTGGCACAACCATTGGCCATAGGTTGCTTTACTGTAAATCCTAAATGAGTCAAAAGTGAACAGCATGATTCTGTTGTTTGATCTTTATGCAAACATAATGGTATTTTCAGAAAACTGCTGTTCCATTTGTAGGGAAAACGTGTTTGTTTTTTACCAAGAACCTATTTAAAGTTATTATTCGTGATATTTTTTTCAGAGCATCATTTGAATATAAAACTTGAGGAACTTGACAAAATGACCGATTTCTTTAAAAATGGATATAGGAGTAATTTCAATGATGAAAAATAAAGCATAAGATTTAATCTCCTACCAAAAATACAAACCCTTCTAGTGATGAGAGATGGTGTTGAGCTGATGTAAGTTATGTATCTGTTGATTAGAAATCTTAATCCCTGATTTAAATTGCTGTTAGAATTCTATTTGTGCCACTTCAGATAATATTGGGTTTGTTTTTCTGTCACCCGGTGAGAAAAAATAAAGAACAGTTTTACTTAATAATTTATTTTGATAGACCCGGAAAAAGTGATGAATGCAGCAAAACTCACCGGTCTGGTTGTGATCCTGGGTCAGCCCTCCTGCTCTGTAAAGGTAAAAATCATTGACCCACACAGGCACAGCAAAGAGATATCAGAGCTTTTCATATTGTTTTCATGCAGCACATCCATGTAATTCCTCATGGACAGCGAAGCAGCAGCAGTGAGTCTGGTTATTACCTTCATTTGCATGTAAATGAAAGCTGCTTTCTAGCCGCAGGGCCAGTTGTGTGGCCACGTCTATACTCTGCAGTCCCTCTGCTTCACGTGCAAACAGTCCACCACACGACACGCACACAGTGGAGGCAAATGTTCATTTGTCTAATTGTTTAGAAATTGGCATCTCACTCTAATTTCACACTCATGTTCACACTTTTATAATGCAATTATACTGCACATGCATGGAATGAAAAGACAGGACTGAAGCAAGTGAAAAAATGATATGATCTGTTTCTATTGGATAATTACAGGGGCCATGTGTTCCCAACAGATCTGAGAGCAGCAGAGTGGAAGGAAACAGGTAGAGGCAAAGATCCAGTCAGCCTGTCACAACATTTACCTTTGAATTTGACAAATTGATCTCAGCTCCTGTGACCCTCTATTTTCTTTCCTTCTTAAAGAGGGCTATACTTTCTGTGGCCCGGCTCCACAGTGATTCCACAAGAGACAAACTCTTCCTATGAGGGAAGTATGAAGCTCTGGATGACAGATGACCTCCAGGCTGGAGGAAATAGCCGGTTTCATCAGGAAGATGCTCACTCGATAAGTAATTTGGTCCAAAATAATTACACAGTGGACTGCTGTCAGCAGCAGCAACACAGCTCTCATTCTACCATCTGAGACACTCAGCAGCTTCACAAAGTTACACATGTTGTTAAAAAGGAATATCTATCTATCTACACATTTCTAAAGTTTCCTTGTACAGAAATCTCCTCACAACTTTAGAAAGTCTTCTACGTTTCTCAGTGTGCACGACATAAACCTGATGATTCATTTACTTTTCAAAGTAACCATTTCTCTATTCCACATATCTTTCTCATTGGCAGTTTAAAATCACATGCCTCTCTCTCTCTCTCTCTCTCTCTCTGTCTCTCTCTCTCTCTCTCTCTCTGTCTCTCTCTCTCTCTCTCTCTCTCTCTCTCTCTCTCTCTCTCTCTCTCTCTCTCTCTCTCTCTCTCTCTCTCTCTCTCTCTCTCTCTCTCTCTCTCTCTCTGTCTCTCTCTCTCTCTCTCTCTCTCTCTCTCTGTCTCTCTCTCTCTCTCTCTCTGTCTCCCTCTCTCTCTCTATCTCTGTCTCTCTCTCTCTCTATCTCTGTCTCTCTCTCTCTCTCTCT